TGCAAATGAACAGCCTCAAACCAGAAGACACGGCAGTCTATTACTGTACGAGACGCAGTGAGAGGAAGTGAATCTGATGCCAAGCAAAAACCTTTCTTTTCTTGGGGCAGCTCTTCAACTTGACTGAGTCTCTGATCCTGGATTAGTCAACCAGGACCTATTTTTGTTATTTCCATCATAATTCACTGAGCCTCAAGAACATTTGCCATCTCAAGAGAGTCAGTGTTCACAGGGAAGCTGAGAACTTGTATAAAATAAATTATCATTGGTGTTTGTTGCCAGAGAATGTGTCAAGGTATTTCAAATCTTTCCTGGAAATCAAAGTAAAAGATAAGGATTTAGATAGAGAGTTTGCTGTAAGAAAATGTAAAATGATGAAAATTGCTTGAAAATTCCAGTTTTATCTTCCCTGTTTACAAAGTCATCAATCTTCAGGAAAAAAACTGAAGTGGAATGTTGTCCTTTATTATTATGGCAGAAGCCTGGAAATGAAACTTCAGGATGAACCTTCTAAACATCCAAACTGCCATTCACCTATTGAAGAAACATCTGCACCAAAATAATCTCCCTGGAGAGTAAGAGAGTTGGAAGGGACTTTGTAGGTCCAATTCACCCCCTCAAGCAGGAGATCTTATACCATTTCTGACAGGTGGTAGTCCACTCTCTTCTTGAAAACGTCCAGTGATGAAGCTACCACAACTTCCTAAGGCAAGATGTTCAATTGATTGATTGTTCTCACTGTCAGAAAATTTATCCTTATTTCCATGTTGAATCTCTCCTTGACCAGTTTCCATTCATTAGTCCTTGTCTGGCCTTCAGGTGCCTTGGAAAATAGCTTGTCCCCCTCCTCTCTGTGGCAGCCCTTCAAATATTGGAACACTGCTATCATGCCTCCCTTGGATATTTTGGAGATATCTAATGATATTTTCTTATTTTTGTGATAACTCAATGAAAAGTTCTCAAGAAAATGTTATGTAGCAGGAGGCTTCAAGATGAAACTGACAAATTTTATAAAAGGATGGAATTTTGGTTTTCGTACCAGAGAAACTTATCAAGGTATTTCAAATCTTTGCTGGAAATGGAAACAACATGAAACAATCCCATTATCATATTCAGTGAACATACTGTATAAAACAGTAAAACGTTACAGATACAAATATGTATAACAATCCAGAAGATTTTAAAATTTCTTTCAAGGTTTAGGGTCAAAACAACATAGCATCTCGAGAGAGTACAATTCTTCCTGGAAAAACTAGGTCTGGGTTTCCACCAGATAACCTACAAAATATTTTAGATAATAAAAAGATAATTGTTTATTATTCTGTTTGAATTGAGAGACTGGTTTAAGTTTCAGTATTGTGTGAATGCAATGAGTCTAACATTCAAAGTGTTCCTTGAAGCTTAATTGCCATTTAACCCTTAATCACAGATGTACTATTTCAGCTATGCTATTACAGAAATGAGGTCAAAATTACTGCTCTAGCTGCTGGTCGTAGTCCAGGTAATTGCACTACAACACTGTGACTAATGGTTCTGGATCTATTGCTTCCAAAAGGTGCAGAAGACCCTTTGAATTTGTTCTTGCCATATAAATCATTGCACAATGTAGAGTGTACCCGGTCATCAATCTCATCGGGAGCTTCCTCATCTCTGATTTCAGAATTGGTGGCAGAGGTGGTTTCCTCATTGTCCATTATAAAATTTTTATTGCAATCTGATTCCACTTCACTCAAATCACTCTCTGCTTCTTCATACCCTTTTATAACAGTTTCTTTGAAGTTTAGATCACCAAATCACACTCTTTCTGGTGGAAAACAAGGCCCCGGCATTATAAAAATATATATACCTTAACAAAGAGCTGCAGTCAAAATGATCACAACTTAAATTCAAATGCCACACAAAAAACACCAAATAAATCCCACAAGCACGATGCTGCATTCACTCTTATTGGCAGGAGGAAAAAGCTATTCACAACCAGAAAGGTCCATTTCTAAAAATAGGAGTGTTCCGAACATTTTGGAAAACAGTTGCAGTCACTATGACCATGGGTCTGTGGTTATCTGTTAATGTATTTGGGATTGTCCATAAAGGAAACAAATGTTAAGGAAGCAATTTGATAGCAAACATTCTAACTCTGATGATCAAGATGATCTATCATAAGTAAATTTAATCTCCAACATCTGGAATAATTTTGAGAATGGCTGAAATTTTTCAGGCTTTTCTTTTAGTTCATGGCTCTTTTTCCTATTAATTCATAGTGGAAAAATGGATCTGAACCCTCTCTTTAGGACTGGAATGCTAATTGCAAAAATGCACATGAAAATTATATTCACTGAAATATATTATGTCCTGAGGGCTCTTTTATACCAACAGATATGTAAATTGAGACATGCATTCCCTTTTAAAGAGCCCCATGGTTTCCCTCTTCAGACAACACCCACCAACCAAAAAATTGTGCTATTTCCTGAAACCTGTGCTGTCAATTTCATCTAGTTATTAAAGGAGCAAAAATGTGGTTGAACCTTGTGTCCTTACTAGTAGTCCTCAAAGGTAATTATTTCCCCTATGTAAAGTTTATGTCCATGTTCTGCTCTTGTATGCAGGTGATCTCATTTAAGAAAATTGTTTTTAGGTATCCAGTCTCAAGAACAGTTGGTAGAATCCGGTGGAGATGTGAGAAGACCTGGAGAGTCCCTGAGTCTCTCCTGCCAAGCCTCTGGATTCACCTTCAGCAGCTATGGGATGAACTGGGTGAGACAGGCTCCTGAGAAAGGACTGGAATGGGTTGCAGGCATCTACTCTGATTCCAGTGGAAAGTTCTACTCTGACAAAGTGAAGGGCCGCTTTACTGTCTCCAGGGACAATGCCAAAAGCCAGCTGTATCTGCAAATGAATAGCCTCAAAGCTGAAGACACAGCAGTCTATTACTGTGCAAGACACAGTGAGAGGAAGTGAGTCTGAGGCCAAGCAAAAACCTTCCTTTCTTCAGACTAAGATCCTGGATTAGTCAATGAGGATTGGTTTTTGTTATTTCCATCATAATTCACTGAGCCAGAAGAACATTTACCATCTCAAGAGGGTAGAAGACTACAGGGAAGCTGAGAATTGGTATAAAATAATTTACCATTGGTGTTTGTGAGCAGAGAATGTGTCAAAGTTTTTCAAATCTTTCCTGGAAATGAAAACAAAAGGAAAGGATTTTGCTACCATATTCAGTGAACATGGAAAACAGTTAAAAAATTATAAATACAAGTCCTGCCTCAGATCTTTTATTAGCCAATTAAGATTGATCACCTTCTAGATACCCAATTGGAGAGTTTGCTCTAAGAAAATGTAAGATGACAGAAATGAAAATTGCAGTTTCATCTATTCAGTTTACAAAGTGATCATTCTTCAGGAAAAACAACAACATGGAATGGAATATTGTCCTTTAGTATTGTTGAAAGAAATATCCACCTGGTTCAGTTCCAAGTGGGGAGAAAGACACTGGAAACATGGAGGCTGATTGGAAAGATGGTTTATTGATGACCCACATAGGTTTGAGGTCCTGGGCAGCTGACAACCTGGAGTGAAGTGTGAGTGTTATTTATACCAGTGGTTGCCAACTGGTGGGCCAGCGACCACTGATGGTCTGTGAGAAAATTTTGTTGGTCTACAGAGAAATGTCCCACCAAAGGGTGCACCGGCCTGCCATGGAGTGGAGGAGCTGCTCTGGTATGACCAAAGGGCCAGTCTTGTGACTACTGCAGCTTTGGAATATGGGATTGGCCCATGGTGGGGTTGGAAACTTCCGCCATAGGGGATGGCATGTGTAATGTGCAGGTGATGCAATGTGGAAACTGTTCCGAACTAGCAGGCTCGTAAGCCTGCAAACCTGACTGGCCTTTTCCCACAGCAGGCTCGTAATCCTGCATATTTGATTGGTCCGTGAACAGCGGGTCGTGATTGGTCATTCCGGACTGATCCAATTGGCTAGTTAACGGCCTGCCGCGATTGGACGCTCCAAGCGCGGCAAACTCAAACCATTGGACACTTTGACAGCAGCGAGCTCTATAAAAAGAGCTGCTGCTGCCAGACCCATTGCTCTGTTCTCTCTGAAGTCACTAATAAAGAGTTGGAGTCACTATTCGATGTTTCGTCTCCGTTATTGTGCCCATCCTTCAGGACAGAACAGAAACAGCAGCACAGCTCTCACCAGCCAGGATGCGGAAATAGTGCTAGTGTGGCAAGAGAGGGTAGTGGCACAGGCAGGCTAAAGCAGCAATGGACATGACAGGAAGGTGCAGGAGTGCCAGGCTACTTGCATTTGCACAGCATCAGCATTCCACCTTACTTGGGGATCCCGGCTGAAGTTTCCTCTGCTGCACATGCTTCAGCTCTTTGACTCCCAGGGACAGGAGTTTAGCCAAGCTACCTGCAAAACCATCTCTCTCTCTCAAGAAGTGCTCGTGGAAAAAAGCAACCGTCTCTCTCTCTCAAGAAGTGCTCGTGGAAAAAAACAGACGGAGTCACTCTCATCTCTCAACAGCCCAGCTGAAGTTTCCTGTGCTGCTTCTGAGAACACCTGGAGATTTCCAACCCCACCACGGGTCGGTCCCATAGTCATAGTCACAAGACTGGCCCTTTGGTCATCCCAGAGCAGCTCCTCCAGTCTATGGCAGGCCAGTGCACCCGGCTGGAAGAGCACTTGTTCCGGGATGACCAAAAGGCCGGACCTGTGACTACTGCAGCTCTGGAATATGGGAACTACTTTCCCACCAATGTCAAAAAGCCACCGTCAGTCAAAATTCATATTAGTGGTCTGTGGGGTTTAAAATTATGAGTTTGGTGGTCCCTGAGGTCCAAAAGGTGGTTGACCCCTGATTTATATCCTCTCTTGGGCCTTGCCCTTGAGCTTCCTGTTCCTGTGGCAAGAGTATGTATTCTATGGGTTGCAGCTTGGCTTCGGGTAAATGGACGGCTATCATTAGTTAGGAAGCTGGGTTTCATCTGGGTGCCTGGTTGGGGTGTGTTTGAGCTGGAGGTATCAGGGGGGATCTGTTTGTGCCCAGGTGTTTGCCTGGCTTGTGGTGTGGAGATTTTTTTGTTTGTGAGTGCAGGCTTCCAAATGATTGACAGCCTGGTGGAATCATCTCTTCT